AAAGCGACTCGGGCAAGTTTGCCGTGACACCCAAAATAGGCCCCGAATTCCCTTTGACAGGACATTCGAGCACTCCAGGAAGATTTTAATAGGCTGATGCAGTGGGGGGAGAAGTGGAGATGCAAATTTAATATGGGCAAAAAGCAAAGTTTAAAAGTTGGAAAAGGAAAAAACCATGCCCCCATATAAACTAAATAATGTAGATCTTAATTTTTAGGATTGCGAAAAAGATTTAGGGAGTTCTGGTTAGCGTAATCTGAAACCAAGAAACAGTGCATAAGTGTTCGCAATAAAAACTAATAGGGGAAACCTTGGGTTTTATCAAGAAGCATAAATAATGAAGTCCTCAGGTTGTTCTTCAAACCCCTATACCTCCTTTTGTTAGGCCCATTTAGATTAGCGCCAGTTTTGGTCACCGTATTACAGAAAAGGATAAAATTCTCTGGGGAAAAAGTACAAAAAAGGGGGATGACAAAGATGAACCCCTGTATCAGAAAAATTTCCCCATGGGGGATAGTAAGGGCCCTGAACTGCACCTCTTGAAAGACGTTTGAATTAGGGGGGGTTTGATTTAGGTGTATAAGTGGAAGAAGGAATAAATAAAGGGGGGGGGGGGGGTTTTAAATAGTGTGCTGAAAAAATCTAGCCTAGACAGGACTCGCAGCAATGGGTTTTAAGTTGGAAAAAATTTAGATTAAAGGGGGGATATAGGAAAATTCTGGGTTTTGGGAAAAGGGGTTGTGGATGAGTGGAAAAACTCCCCAAATACCGTTTTTAGAGGGGCCCGAAACGTTTGTAGCTTTAAAAATAGGTTGGATAAAAACATGGTAAATGTGGGTGGGTGTGAGTTAGCCAGATACTTGTGCAAAAAGGTCGGTTGCCCTGTTCCTCCCTTAAGTCAATGTGACCTGACCGGCTAGGTTGGGTGATTGGCTTAAGCCGGTAGGAGACCTTTGGGCCTGCCCCGCATGGGGCCCGTAGGCCTTCTGCAGGTTCCCTTTGTTTTATGTTCTTAAAGTTTTTACAGAAAATTTTCCCCATGGGTAGACTGAGGGCCCCGAAAATTTCACTCTCTTGGGAAGGCGTAGAATTAGGGGGGATATGATCGGGGGTGTATAAAAGGGAAAAAAGGGGAAAAAAAAAGGGTATGTTTAAAAAGGTGCTGAAAACCCTTTCCGCCAAGGGCGGGGCTTGCAGCAAAAGGGTTTTAAAATTTTAAAAAAAATTAGATTTAGAAAGGATAAAGGAAAGCACTGGTTTGGGAAATTTTGAGTTGTGGATGAGTGGAAACAAACTCCCCAGTACAGTTTTTAGGGTAAAAAAGGGTTTTGTAGTTTTAAAAAAAAGGGGTTTGGGTAAATTTCATGGGGGGGGTGTGGGGGGGTGTGAGTTGGACCCGGGCTAGCTTTGCGGGTGGGTCTTTGGGGCAGAGCTCCCTCCTTGGTGGAGGTAACCCAATGGGTTTGGGGCATTTGGGGTAATCCCGGGGGGGTGGGGCATTGGTTTGAATCCGGGGGGGGGGGGGGAAGGACCTCCTCCGCATGGGTCAGTAGGCCCGTTGCAGTGTTTCCCTTTTTTCTTTTGTTCTTATGTTCTTAATTTGATTTTCCTGTGGAACTCTTATGGGGTTTTTCGTTCCCTTTGATCATCTTAAGACCCCTTTTTTGTGTGATTTGATTTATTTTGAATTTTTTTTTTTTTCTGAAAAAGTTTTCTTGATGTTATTCTGCAACCCGAAACTGACATGTATGGTTATGAAAATGACATTTTAAAGTTAGAAACTGACATGTATGATTATGAAAAATGGGCATGATTGTTATGAAACTGACATGTTAGTTATGAAATGGGCATGAAAGATTTTGAAATGAATGTATTGTTTTTGAAAAATGACATGTATAGTTATGAAACTGACATGAATTTTTATGAAAATGAATGTATAGTTTTTGAAAAAAGGGCATGAATTGGTTATGAAACTGAAGTATGGTCATGAAACCCGACATGTATGGGTTTGATTTCTGACTTTTATTGTCAGAAACGGAAAATTTTTTTTTGGAACTGCCCCCCGTTGGGAATTTGTAGTTGTCGTCTGGTGCAGTTAAACTTTTGTGATCCCGGATTTGGGTTTTTTGTATTCTTTAAATTCTTGAAGATATGGAATGATCCCAAACTTTTAATGACTGTATTGTGTTTGAAGGGTTTTTAAAAGCAGTGTGCTTGACTTTGACCCGAGCCTTGTTTTGGGAAGGGTAAAAAAGGGTTGAAAGGAATTGAGTGGTTTCTGTGGTTCAATCACTTTTGTTTGAAAATTGGTTTAAAGGAAAATTTTTGTGGGTTTAAATTTAAAGTTTAACGTGATTTGTTTAGGTTACATATCACATGTCCCAAATCACAAGCACATGCATAAAATGGAAGGGGGCATAAATGTGTCTGGAAAATGTATACATGGCGGTAAGTGTGGGAATACTTTTTTTTTCATTGAAATTATTTACCCTGTAGAGGGGGAAAAATCACCCAGGTACAATGCGGAGGCTTGGGAGGCGCAAGGGGGGGAGCGTAGGTGGCTGGATGCTTGACACTTGTTAGGCTTTTCCCTTTTTACTCCCTTTGTTTCGTCAGGAAGTTCAGATGTTTTGGGTGGTCCATTTTGTGATGGATTTTCAAAATCTGCATGTAGACTGGGTCAGGTGTTGTTTTAGTCCCCGTCTTCTCCTGGGAGAGCACTCAGTATCGTTTGCCCTTTGGGAAAGCATCCTAGTGAATGTGCTGTCCTTAATGTTGCAAAGTAATCCTTTGCGTTCTGTACGAGGGTTGACGGATCACGTAGCGTGCGTGTTGATTAGCTGGGGTGGGTTGTCTCTGTCGGGCAAGTAGTGTTTGTTCAATCAGAACAGCTGGTGTTTCTTCAGCTTGAGTCTGATGTTGATGGCGTCTATACTTAGTAATACATGAAAGTCCTCAGTTTTGATTCTATCATTCAGCCTGGTGTTTGAGACAACGAAGGGACTGTGTTCGGGACTCTGGCAATTCAGCTTGTTTTTTCGTTGTCATCGACAACACACGTGGGTATTCAAGTACGGCGATGTTGAGTGCTTTCCACATCGTTACTTTTCACTGATTATATTTTGCATTTTTTTTCTGTATTTCACGCTTTCGTGCGGGAAGATGTTGACTTTTGAACCAGTGAATAACATTTTCCTAGATACAGATTAACCTGCTCTTCAAGGACTGCAATGAAATAGCATTTAAGCGCTCCCAATTGTGTGTGTATTTAGGTGTATGAGAGGTGTATGAGAGATTTTCCAACATTACCTCAGGTTTTTAATATTTTCTCCGTGCTGTTTTGCATGATTGATCAATATATTATTCTCCGCTACCCACTGGAAGACATAATCGATATGCAACCTCTCTTCCAAACAGGACGTGTGTTCTCACATGCATTACACATGGTTAATTTCTTATCGATCTAACCCTCTACGAAAATTTAATATTTGTCATTCTACGTTTGGTTAAGATAGCGTAAATTATTTTGTTTATACGTCTACTTAGCAGATAGCACAAATAGATGAATATCTGGTAGCTTTGGACATGTAATCCCTCAGAGCGTTGGGATCCCCCCAAGGCTGTTCTCCAAGGTTGGGGTCTAAGCTTGGTCTCCAGTCGAAAGGTTGACTCAAATAAAGCGTCCAAACTGCTCATGTCTTTGACAAATACCTCTTTGTCATACAGATTAGGTTAGGTAAGGTTTCTTCCTTCCCATTCTCACCAACCCTCAGGCCAGAACCTCGAACCTCGAAGGTTTCTCAGGAAACAGGATAAGTGTTTCCTGGCACGGGTCTTAGTCATATGATGACCCGCAGCTTGAGCTTTTGGTCGTCTGACCGAGGCCTTCCGCTGGCTTATCATTCCACTCCTTTAAAAATTATAGTTATAATTTTAATCATTAGATTTTGGTGGCCTGGTGGTTAACGCTCTCGCTTCACACGGTGAGGGCCTGGGTTCGATTCCCAGCCAGAGTAGAAACATTGGACGTGTTTCTTTCCACCTGTTGTCTATGTTCCCCATCAGTAAAATGGGTACCTGGGTGTTAGTCGACTGGTGTGGGTCGCATCCTGGGACACTGACCTAAGGAGGCCTGGTCACAGACCGGGCCGCGGAGGCGTTGACCCCCGGAACTCTCTCTCCAGATGCAGGATCGTCAGCTTTACACTTGTTTACACACTCAGGTCACCCTTACCTCTCCAATCTCACTAGATCCTACATTTCCCATGTATTCTCTGTAAGACTTGAAAAAGCTTGGTCACCAAGCGAAACACACTCTTGATAAAATATCCATTCTGCCTTTGCTCTATTATTGAGAAGCAGTCGCGTTTGTGATAAGGAATTTTGTCGGCGGTTTACAGTGTTTCTACATGCCATCGGCACCTAGTTTCTGCAATATTTAGAGGTTGCTATACATTATTGTCTCAGCCTTGGAGAGAAGTACATGTAATCAGTGTTTATTTCAAGTCCAGTGGTGTTATTGTGCTGCCCGTCCTTCTAATAGGACATTTCACTGTTGCAAAAACAGTCAAATAGAAAACTGATGGCGGCACCATAAACAGTGAAAATCTGACAAAGTAATGTCTACCGCGCTCAGTGGTTGTCAGTTTTCTGTTCCCGAGGCAGAACTGTACATCGCCTTTTTTTTTTTTCCTTCGTGGTGTATTATTATTGGCTATTTTTTGTGGACAGAGAGCAGCCAAACCTAACCTAGTCGAACCTAATCTGAACTAACCGAGAATTTTGCTACAAGCCGTCTGACACACACCCACATAGATTTTTTTTGAAGTTGAAAGGATGTACTATTACTGTGGCATCATGAGTGTTGACTGTGGTGATGTTTTGGTTATAAATAATTGCTTGTCAACATTTATCATTTTAAATTAATGGTTTAGAGAGCAGTGAGTCTCATTGTAAAACCACCTCATCTTTTTCTCATCAGTGATTTTTTTTTTTTTTTGTCAGAACTTGGGAACTTGGCTCATGAAAAGTGTTGCTGATAAAGCAGTGTTTAAATTCTCTACTGCAGCAGCTCTGCCAAAATTAGTATGAACATCACAAAATTAATATATTGTGTCGATCATAAATAATAAATAATATTGTAGGGTTACTTTAAATTATAATTTATTCCAGTAATGTTATATCAGGTTGCTAAATTAATATAAAATAATAGATTTTGTAGATTATAAATGTTAACTAATGTATATTTAGAGTAACGTTAGATAGGCTGGAGAGCATTAAGCTAAGTTATTTTCCCTTAATTCCCCTATTAGGAAAGATTTCTAAGTCAGTTTTGGCGCAAAATGAAAAAAATATTTCCAATGTTAATTTATCAGTCCATGGAAAAAGTAGATAAAATTACTTCGAAGAAAAACTCGTGGATGTGTCTCTTGAGCCAGTTTGAATATCTCACCTCTGCTACCCCATCTTTTATAAATGGACATACAGTATAGGTATACTTTATATGTAATATTGTACACAATGTATAAAGGATACATTGATGATACATGGATGGTACGGCTCTTAATATACTACCCCTCAAGGAAGGTTCCTTGATGTTGCTGAGGGGCTCTTGATTTAAGAAATTGGATTTGTGCTCCAGTTCCCCGAATTAAGCCTGAATGCCTTCCACATCCCCCCCCCATGTGCTGTATAATCCTCTGGGTTTAGCGCTTCCCCCTTGATTATAATAATAATAATCTTAATATACTACGTCTCTTTTCAGTAGATTCAATACATTCTTCAACTCTAGTTTTAATACTGTATTGTCTTCTGGTTAGTTATCAGTAGACTCCTTGCCGGAGGAACCATTGTTGCTCTGCCTTGAATACCAGAAGTGCACGACAGTTCTATCAGCGTTAAGCAGGAGACCAGTGTGAAAGGTTTTTTTTTTTTTGTTTAACTGACACTGAAAAAGAAACTGTGGGTATTTAATTCCGCTAATGCCTTTCTTTGCTCTCTTTCTGCGTCTCTTGGGTTTATACTTTTACCTTAACACTTAACATTTCTTTAACCAATGTTTGGTTTGCGCTTTTAGGAGTGTAGGACGTCTGAGTAACAGTGTGGCTCTTCCTCTTGTAAACTGATCCTTGTTCGTGTTTGCATTTACTTTGTTTAATCAGTGGCAAATATTTAATATTACTAGTGTTACTGTGCTTCTTGATGTTACTAGTGTTACTGTGGTACTTGATGTTACTAGTGTTACTGTGGTTCTTGATGTTACTAGTGTTACTGTGGTACTTGATGTTACTAGTGTTACTGTGGTACTTGATGTTACTAGTGTTACTGTGGTACTTGATGTTACTAGTGTTACTGTGCTTCTTGATGTTACTAGTGTTACTGTGCTTCTTGATGTTACTAGTGTTACTGTGGTACTTGATGTTACTAGTGTTACTGTGCTTCTTGATGTTACTAGTGTTACTGTGGTACTTGATGTTACTAGTGTTACTGTGGTACTTGATGTTACTAGTGTTACTGTGGTACTTGATGTTACTAGTGTTACTGTGCTTCTTGATGTTACTAGTGTTACTGTGCTTCTTGATGTTACTAGTGTTACTGTGCTTCTTGATGTTACTAGTGTTACTGTGCTTCTTGATGTTACTAGTGTTACTGTGCTTCTTGATGTTACTAGTGTTACTGTGCTTCTTGATGTTACTAGTGTTACTGTGCTTCTTGATGTTACTAGTGTTACTGTGCTTCTTGATGTTACTAGTGTTACTGTGCTTCTTGATGTTACTAGTGTTACTGTGCTTCTTGATGTTACTAGTGTTACTGTGCTTCTTGATGTTACTAGTGTTACTGTGCTTCTTGATGTTACTAGTGTTACTGTGCTTCTTGATGTTACTAGTGTTACTGTGCTTCTTGATGTTACTAGTGTTACTGTGCTTCTTGATGTTACTAGTGTTACTGTGCTTCTTGATGTTATAGTGTTACTGTGCTTCTTGATGTTACTAGTGTTACTGTGTTCTTGATGTTACTAGTGTTACTGTGCTTCTTGATGTTACTAGTGTTACTGTGGTTCTTGATGTTACTAGTGTTACTGTGCTTCTTGATGTTACTAGTGTTACTGTGGTACTTGATGTTACTAGTGTTACTGTGCTTCTTGATGTTATTAGTGTTACTGTGCTTCTTGATGTTACTAGTGTTACTGTGCTTCTTGATGTTACTAGTGTTACTGTGCTTCTTGATGTTACTAGTGTTACTGTGGTTCTTGATGTTACTAGTGTTACTGTGCTTCTTGATGTTACTAGTATGTTACTGTGTACTTGATGTTACTAGTGTTACTGTGTTCTTGATGTTACTAGTGTTACTGTGCTTCTTGATGTTACTAGTGTTACTGTGGTACTTGATGTTACTAGTGTTACTGTGCTTCTTGATGTTACTAGTGTTACTGTGGTTCTTGATGTTACTAGTGTTACTGTGCTTCTTGATGTTACTAGTGTTACTGTGGTACTTGATGTTACTAGTGTTACTGTGGTTCTTGATGTTACTAGTGTTACTGTGCTTCTTGATGTTACTAGTGTTACTGTGCTTCTTGATGTTACTAGTGTTACTGATGGTTACTTGATGTTACTAGTGTTACTGTGGTTCTTGATGTTACTAGTGTATACTGTGCTTCTTGATGTTACTAGTGTTACTGTGCTTCTTGATGTTACTAGTGTTACTGTGGTACTTGATGTTACTAGTGTTACTGTGGTTCTTGATGTTACTAGTGATACTGTGCTTCTTGATGTTACTAGTGTTACTGTGCTTCTTGATGTTACTAGTGTTACTGTGCTTCTTGATGTTACTAGTGTTACTGTGCTTCTTGATGTTACTAGTGTTACTGTGCTTCTTGATGTTACTAGTGTTACTGTGCTTCTTGATGTTACTAGTGTTACTGTGGTTCTTGATGTTACTAGTGTTACTGTGGTACTTGATGTTACTAGTGTTACTGTGGTTCTTGATGTTACTGTGGTTCTTGATGTTACTAGTGTTACTGTGGTTCTTGATGTTACTAGTGTTACTGTGGTACTTGATGTTACTAGTGTTACTGTGCTTCTTGATGTTACTAGTGTTACTGTGGTTCTTGATGTTACTAGTGTTACTGTGCTTCTTGATGTTACTAGTGTTACTGTGCTTCTTGATGTTACTAGTGTTACTGTGCTTCTTGATGTTACTAGTGTTACTGTGGTTCTTGATGTTACTAGTGTTACTGTGGTTCTTGATGTTACTAGTGTTACTGTGGTCTCTTGATGTTACTAGTGTTACTGTGGTTCTTGATGTTACTAGTGTTACTGTGGTTCTTGATGTTACTAGTGTTACTGTGCTTCTTGATGTTACAGTGTTACTGTGTTCTTGATGTTACTATGTTCTGTGCTTCTTGATGTTACTAGTGTTACTATCGTTCTTGATGTTACTAGTGTTACTGTGGTTCTTGATGTTACTAGTGTTACTGTGGTTCTTGATGTTACTAGTGTTACTGTGGTTCTTGATGTTACTAGTGTTACTGTGGTTCTTGATGTTACTAGTGTTACTGTGGTTCTTGATGTTACTAGTGTTACTGTGGTTCTTGATGTTACTAGTGTTACTGTGGTTCTTGATGTTACTAGTGTTACTGTGGTTCTTGATGTTACTAGTGTTACTGTGGTTCTTGATGTTACTAGTGTTACTGTGTTCTTGATGTTACTAGTTTACTGTGGTTCTTGATGTTACTAGTGTTACTGTGCTTCTTGATGTTACTAGTATTACTATGGTTCTTGATGTTACTAGTGTTACTGTGGTTCTTGATGTTACTAGTGTTACAGTGGTACTTGATGTTACTAGTGTTACTGTGGTACTTGATGTTACTAGTGTTATTGTGGTTCTTGATGTTACTAGTGTTACTGTGGTTCTTGATGTTACTAGTGTTACTGTGCTTCTTGATGTTACTAGTGTTACTGTGCTTCTTGATGTTACTAGTGTTACTGTGGTTCTTGATGTTACTAGTGTTACTGTGCTTCTTGATGTTACTAGTGTTACTGTGGTTCTTGATGTTACTAGTGTTACTGTGGTTCTTGATGTTCCTAGTGTTACTGTGGTTCTTGATGTTACTAGTGTTACTGTGCTTCTTGATGTTACTAGTGATACTGTGGTTCTTGATGTTACTAGTGTTACTGTGGTTCTTGATGTTACTAGTGTTACTGTGGTTCTTGATGTTACTAATGTTACTGTGCTTCTTGATGTTACTAGTGTTACTGTGGTTCTTGATGTTACTAGTGTTACTGTGGTATCTTGATGTTACTATGTTACTGTGCTTCTTGATGTTACTAGTGTTACTGTGCTTCTTGATGTTACTAGTGTTACTGTGGTTCTTGATGTTACTAGTGCTACTGTGCTTCTTGATGTTACTAGTGTTACTGTGCTTCTTGATGTTACTAGTGTTACTGTGGTTCTTGATGTTACTAGTGTTACTGTGCTTCTTGATGTTACTAGTGTTACTGTGCTTCTTGATGTTACTAGTGTTACTGTGCTTCTTGATGTTACTAGTGTTACTGTGGTTCTTGATGTTACTAGTGTTACTGTGCTTCTTGATGTTACTAGTGTTACTGTGGTTCTTGATGTTACTAGTGTTACTGTGCTTCTTGATGTTACTAGTGTTACTGTGCTTCTTGATGTTACTAGTGTTACTGTGCTTCTTGATGTTACTAGTGTTACTGTGGTTCTTGATGTTACTAGTGTTACTGTGGTTCTTGATGTTACTAGTGTTACTGTGCTTCTTGATGTTACTAGTGTTACTGTGCTTCTTGATGTTACTAGTGTTACTGTGCTTCTTGATGTTACTAGTGTTACTGTGGTTCTTGATGTTACTAGTGTTACTGTGGTTCTAGATGTTACTAGTGTTACTGTGGTTCTTGATGTTACTAGTGTTACTGTGGTTCTTGATGTTACTAGTGTTACTGTGCTTCTTGATGTTACTAGTGTTACTGTGGTTCTTGATGTTACTAGTGTTACTGTGCTTCATGAAGTACTAGTGTTACTGTACTTCTTGATGTTACTAGTGTTACTGTGGTTCTTGATGTTACTAGTGTTACTGTGGTTCTTGATGTTACTAGTGTTACTGTACTTCTTGATGTTACTAGTGTTACTGTGGTTCTTGATGTTACTAGTGTTACTGTACTTCATGAACATCATCATAGTGTTACTGTACTTCATGAACATCATCATAGTGTCACTGTACTTCATGAACATCATCATAGTGTCACTGTATTTCATGAACATAGTGTCACTGTACTTCATGAACATCATCATAGTGTCACTGTACTTCATGAACATCATCATAGTGTCACTGTACTTCATGAACATCATCATAGTGTCACTGTACTTCATGAACATCATCATAGTGTCACTGTATTTCATGAACATAGTGTCACCGTACTTCATGAACATCATCATAGTGTCACCGTACTTCATGAACATCATCATAGTGTCACTGTACTTCATGAACATCATCATAGTGTCACCGTACTTCATGAACATCATCATAGTGTCACTGTACTTCATGAACATCGTCATAGTGTCACTGTACTTCATGAACATCATCATAGTGTCACCGTACTTCATGAACATCATCATAGTGTCACCGTACTTCATGAACATCATCATAGTGTCACCGTACTTCATGAACATCGTTTTATTGCCGCTGTTTTTAAGTTGTTTCTAGTTAAAACTAAATTTCGTTTTTAGCTTTGACTAATTCCTAACATTTTGTTTTAAGGTTTTAAGGTGGAGGTTCCTAGTACAGGTTACATTATGCAGGTGTCGTGCACGAGGCAGGTGTCGTGCACGAGGCAGGTGTCGTGCACGAGGCAAACTATTTTACACAGTACAAAGTTGATTGATTTTCCTCGTTTTCAGAATATTTGCAAAATCTAACATACATATATAGTGGTGTAGGTTGTATCTGTAGGTATGATGTGGGAGCTGCTGGTTCGTATGCAAGACTTTTTATCGCGTAGATTTTAGATAGCCTTCGACCAAGAGCTGTAATTATTGTCTACGAAAATTATGTTCCTTTACAAACAATTATTTTTTCCCTTGTTACCGTCATCCATACCACATGCGGGTGAGGCTTGAATTCGCGGCAAGTGAGTCGTTAAACTTCAGGTCACCGCGTAAGCAACTGGCCTGTGGCTTACGTGCTGGCCTGGAGTTTTACGACTCACTTACCGCGAGTTCAAACCCCTACCAGTATTCTGGTTTGTTTGCAATCGTGTCATTACGATTTCGTGAGTCATGGTACCATCATCCATTTTCTGCGTTTCTCGGCCAGTGTCTGATGATCTTCTTTGTAGGCAGTGGAAGAGAACCTCTACATATTTAACCTCGATGATGACGTTGGCTGATTTCTTGGAGCATGACTTGCCTGATAACGAGAGTTGTTTGCTTTGCTGTGATTCTTAGTGAGGATTCTTATTGTGTACAGCTATCAAAGGACTCCTCTATATTCACTACGGACCTTCACGCAATCTTCGCTTGTCTTGTCCTGATGGCTAATTTAGTTGGTTCTCGGTCACTGTGTACTCAGATTCTCATGGGTTGTGTCTATCCTGATCCAGTAGTCTTTTGGCCACCCCGTTGGCCAAAAGATCCGGTTACTAACACCAACAGAACTCCAAATCTTGTGCCCGTGGCACAACGATGTGGAGTTTTGTTAGTGCTCAGGTCATGCTGGTGTCCTGGGAAATGAACTGGCAGATGTCGAGGCAAAGGTTGTTGTAGAGAGCCCACTCTGTGGTAGACTTGCCTAACTTTGACTTTATGGGCCATATTCACAGATATGTCCTTGGAAAATGGCGGGCTTGGTGGGCCCTACAGATTTGACATGACGTGGGTATTTGCCCTCATTAATAGGATTCGTCACTTCGAGACAAGTCTCTATTGATTGAGGATTGAGTGCACACGTCACACTCGTGTCATAGTCATGTGTTCACAGATGCTCCTCCCCCCCCTCCCACCTCTCTGTGAAGCTTGTAGTGTACCATTGACTGTGAACCATTTAAACAGTTTGCTCATGGCTTAAGCCTTTTCACTTCCGTTTAGTTTGTATAATTACCAGGGTGCCTGTAGGTATCTCGGGGAACTTTTAGGAGAGTCTTAAGACAGTAATTATTTTTAACTGAAGCCTATTATTTTAACCTGGTATGGCAGTATTTTTTCGTGTTTAGCTTTATTTTTTTTATTTTTGGTTAATTTTATTTTGTTTTATTGTGTGTCGTATATAATATTTTTATTGGCAAGAGCTCTGAGTGATTTACATGGTCAAGGCATGTGAAGGCTTACTCAGCCCTGTAATAACTTCAGACAGTATTACCAAGGCTGGCTCCTTCTCAGGAAAATTAATGAATAGAAAAAGAAATAATAACAGACAAACATAAACACTTTATTATATAGAAAATATAAAATATAAAACACTTAAATATGAAATATTAATCCTACATTAAAGAAAAGGAAAAAATGAAAAAATATTAAATGATAACTAATTCAACGCTAATTATATAAATGGGTGTCCTCGTGTGGTGCACTGTGTTGTTGAAATCGTAAGCCGTTGCTGATGATAGGGGGAGGGGTCGCAGGTGTTGGTTAGGACCCACTGGCTAGTTTCTTCACAGTATAGCCTTGAGTATTATATCCCCCGATGACGAGGAAAGCAGTTCTTTACCGCTGCAGTGATGAGGGTTACGGTCCTGCAATTTTCATACGCAGGTGCACAGGTAATTAAATCCAAATAGGGAAGTCTCAGGACGTTAGTCCAACTCCACAGTTCTTCTCGTTTGATTGAACAGGTACCCTCTCTGTCATCCTAGGCTGAAAGATAGACAGGTTACCCACTGCTTAATATCCCTCTCCCATGATAAGTACAAACCTAAAAGATGTGGTGATTATTACAACAGTCTCATAAAGAGCAAGGCTGAAAAGACTATGTTTATTATTGGTCAAAGTGTTGCTTTCAACCCATAAATCCACTAGAATACAGTCTTAGCAGGCATGTACTTACAGTAGTCTGGGAGCTGTGAGACTAGTGATTACTGTTTGGAGGAGAGCCCCACCGTCACCTTTCGGGGGTGGAAGAGGAGGGAAGGGATATCAGGAGCTGACTGACCCTACCTGTAACAAGCAGGCCGGCAGGTCAAACTATCACTTTCGAGGTGGGGTAAAAAGGCGGAATACCGGAGCTTGACTTACCCTACCTTAACAAGTAGCCGGGCAGTATTGAGGTTTATGAAACTATTGTTACTAATATACTCCACTCGCTATCCTATCTATTGAACTTTTCCCTCCACACTCCCCTTACCAAGACTTATAGTCAAGGAGTATAAGAAGAAATAGCGGAGGCAAAAAGTTCAACATGTGAAGGAGCGGCGTAAAGGCAACAAATCTCTACTTGACTGTCACGACTTAACCATCAGAGAAATAATTGGATGAACCATTGGATATACACAATATGGAACTTAAAAGCCTGTAGTGCCAATTCCACACTCAAGAGGCGACTGTTGGTTCCCTTAAAAGTTTCTAAGGTATATCAAAGGGTTGTGGTCCGTGTCTAAAATGAAATTCTTTTCCCAGCAAATAAAATTAATTTGGAGATACCCCACACAGGGCTAAACATTCCTTTTCTATTGTAGAGAATCTTGTTTTCTGCGTGAGGAGTTCTTGCTTAGGAAGCATACAGGGAAGGGAGTACCATCAGGGTATTGTATGGTAACAACACTGCAACCTAAGCCAGTCTTGAGGCATCAGTTATTAAACAAAATGTTTTTATTAATATCTGGAAATCTTAAGTACAGGGTCTTTTCTGAAAAAGATACTTTTTTAATCTCCTTAAACGTTTGTCCGAGCTACGTCACCCCAACGGAAAGGTCAAGAGGTTCCTTCAACAGACTTTTTAAGAAGTCAGATAAGATGCCTGTAAATCAGTAAGGTTTGGGGATAAACCGTGATTAAAAATTTACAGAACCAGAAAGCTATGCATAGCTTCGTTGGTTTTGGGGAATTTAAATTCAATAAAGCTTTGATCTTACTGGAGAGAGGCTGCAGAGAGTTATTAGAAAGTATCAGTCCCAAGATACTAAACTATGTTATACCCAAGGAAGCATTTCATACGGCTTGGCAGTGAGGCCATGTAGAGCGTGAACCTAACAAAACTAATGATAATGTTTGGATATAGTTCTGTACCACGTTGATGTCATACGTAAATTTTTTATCAAAATAAACTGAAGACATTTCGGCATATTACCCAAGACCTTTCTCAATCAGTCCACGTAGGGTAGCACAGGCAGTTATCCAAACTGAAGGCCATAGTTTTCTATTATTGCATCAAGTCCTTGGTGATGTAAGGAAAAGCGTTGTACTGCTTTAGAAGAATGATCTAACAATACTAGATGATATGCCTGCGCAATATCAATCTCTGAAAAGAAGGAAGCGTCATAAAAAATTTGTGGAGATCCGGCTAGAGCTATTAAAGGGCATAGGCCTCAAGCATCCCACCGATTTATAGCATTAGGCCTCTGAAGTCAATAGCAAGTCTATATGAATGTATCCTCCTTAAACCATGGACTACTGTGAACAATATGAAGGATACTGAAGGTTTCAACGGTCTTTAGTATTTAATAATTTTGTCTACCTCTCGGTCAAATGCATCCCCTAGGTGAACTGGAACTAGGTATAATTTTCGTTATGATGGATTGTCCGTCACTAATCAATCTTATGGACTACCTGGAGGTAAGACACTTGGAATATCATTAAAGACGTCTGAAAAGGTTACTCACACATTGAAGTAGTTCATGTCCTCTTATGGTCATCCAAAGATTCCCTAATATTAATGAGGTGCGGCCCGAGTGGTCAAGAGTCACCACGTCCCATTGTAGTTCTTCACAATAGTTTCTAAGTTAGAAGTGCCATTACGCAAACACTTTACATTCTTCAGTTGTCTTAATCAATACGTGTGGAAAAACAAAGTCAAAGTTATTAAGGCAGTTAACCGAATTTTCTTCGGTAATATTTCTTAAGGATGTTGAATGATGGATAAGCTTAGGTTTCCACCTTGACTTCTATGAGGTAATCAACTTTTCCACTTGGGACGAATTTTTAAATACTTTAATGGACCTTACCATGCTACTAATAATTTATTTGACTTGATCGGCAAAAGTAACAAGAACTTCATCCCCTACTTTGAAAACTTCTCTCTGACTTTTGGAATCAAAATATGTTTTTTGTTACTGTCCCATTGACAACTTTAGTTTTTTCCGAACTAGTCAGAGGTCTCCTCAAGTTTGGATCTAAGGTCAAGGAGAACTGGTAAGAAGACTGAACCTCAGCATTTTACCCCTCATCAGTCCATAAGTCATTGAAAGAGGACAATGGCCTCTGGCCTGTCTACCATAGAGAAGTTTCAAAAAGGTGAAAACCCCAAAGAGTCACTGGGAACTTCCCTCATGGCATACAAAGCACAGGGTAGGTAACGATGCCACCCTTAGTTTTTAAGAGAAAGTTTCCTTAAAATGCTTGAGGAATCGAATGCTGGGCGCTCAATCCTCCATTACAGCTGGGATGAATAGGGTGGTGGTTGAAGAGAGGCTTCACTCCAGATAGTTGGTATAGATTGTTGCATTAAGTCAGAATGTGAATTGTGTCCACCGGTCCCAGACCAAAATTTCTCTAGGGATGCCGCTCCTGGAGAAGATGACAAAAGGCTTCAACCACCTTCTGTAGTGGTTATGGTCTTTAAGGGTATGTGGCTTCAGGGAAACTCGAAGCATAACAACTAATGTTAATATATACTATGTCCCCCAATGAAAGTGGAGATAAAGGACAAACGATGTCAAATAGCTACTCTTTCAAACGGTACTGTAAAGATAGGCATTTTGACCATAGGGACTCGCCTTGTACCCTCGGGGGTATACAGTTGGCAAACTTTACAACGATCTAAATAGGTATTGACATCTGAGGACATTTTTTGGCCAAAAATAGGTTTCCCTATTTTATTAAGGTTTTACGATGCAAGAAATTGTTCCCGGCCACTGGCAGGTCATGAGCCATATAAGAACAGTCTCTCTGCAATGACTTGGAACAACTAAGATGGAATAGGTCTATCTCATCTGAATATAAATTGAATACTGAACTTTACAAGATACCTTTATATATTCAAATTTATATGGAAAAGTTTTTCCCTTGGATCACTTGATTATTGTTTAGCGCGAATTTATGGCAATTCTGAAGAGAAGGGCAATACGTTTTTGTAAACTTGACAAAGAGTCCTCGATATATCTAAATGCTTAAAAGTCATGGAAAATCAGAAGGAGGACAGTAGGAAGAAGCCTGGGCTTTGGTCCTGAGCCCAGTCAAGACATTTATGGTATCGGAGGT